GTTTGACTGGGAGAACTGTTTTGTTCTGTTCCTCTCCAGAAGGTAAAACACAATCATTTTTCAAAGACTGTTAACTTAAACTCAAAGACCCGTTAAATTAAAGTCTGTAAGCCATGTTCCTGAGTCAAAGACTGTGAGTTCAGGTTCTGTCAATTCAAAGACTGATAGTTCCAAAGACTGCCCACCGTGGTGAAAGAAGTTGAAAGCCAATTTCTGATGAATCAGATTTTCTGAGCCTGCTCCTCTGCCTCTCCATGGTCCTGTTCCCAGGGTGGCTGTGGTCCAGCCATCCCCTGCACCCCTATCAGTTTCCCGGGTGAGGAGGCCTGGGGCTCGGTTGGTCCTTGCTCTGGTTTTCAGGCCAGCTGAGGCTCTACTAGTCTCTGCACCTGTACCAGCTCGTCAGGTGGGAACAGCAGCTGCCTAGCTGTTGCCTGTCCCAGCTGGTTCAGGGCGGCCGTAAACCAGCTCTCTCTTGCACCTGTACCTGTAGCTCTCTCCTGCACCTGTGGGAGTGACTGATGTCCGGTCTGCCCCAAAACCCACACCGGTCCCTGAGGTGAGGCAAGTCAGGACACAGCTGACCTCCGCACGCATACCTGCTCCTAGGGTGGGAGCGGCTAGTGTCTGGTAGGTGCCTGTACCCGTTCCTGTCTCAGTTGGAGGTGAGCCTGTCCAGCAGTTTCCCCTCACTTTAATCACCAATTCAACCACCACTACAACCACCATTGCAACAACCATTACAACCTCTACTTCAGTCACTAGCTCAGTCATCAGCTCTGTTACAGCCTCAGTCACCTGCTCAGCCACCTGTCCAGCCAGGGGTCTCTGCACCTGCTGGTCCTGTGTCGCTTCAGCCAGGGATCTGCACACCTACCGTCTGTTACCACTGGGGGCCTTGGTGAGCTGCTCCGGCACTCCGCGGCTTCCATGCAGCCATCTGTTTACGCTGGTGGCTCTGGAGAGTCAATCCAGCTGTCCATGTTTTCGATGCTGTCTTCTGTCTCTGCTGAAGACTCTGGAGAGTCTGTCCAGACATTAGCTCCACCTGATGCACCTTAGAACACACATCAACACTACAATGAGCGGGTGGAGGGAGGTTTGGAGTCTTCTCTCACCCCCATTCTCTGCGACCTGCTGGAGCGGGGGGGCTAGGAGGAGGAGTTGGCCGTCTGACTGCAGTCTGGAGTGTGGGGCCTCCCTGCTGCTGCGGAGTCGGGGCGGTCTGCCTCCCCCCACCGCAGGGAAAAGGGTAACACCACCTAGGTCTGGGTGCAGTTCCCCCCTCAAGGGGCAAGGGTACCTAGACCCGGTTCGTAGAGTACGCTTGGGGAGTGTGATCGTATGTACAGCGTCTCTTTATGTCTGTCTCCATGTTGGTTGAGTGTGGAGTAAGTGTATATGAGAGCATGAGGGTGGGAATGGATGTTTGTATCTGTGTGTGCCTGTATGTCTGTGTCTATATGTCAGGTTGGGTGTCAGGCGCCACCTCTCTGGGGACATCTCAGGCTCTCCAAGGTTTGGAGGCCTATCTCCCCCTACCACCACTTCCCCTGCCAGTGGCAAATAAATGTTTATTTCAATCCAAGTTAAAATTTCTTATAAGAGATTGATGTTATGGCAGATTACTCAGTGACATGTTTTGTAATGATAAAGTTTTGATTTGTATTTTTTCAGCACCATCTTCACCACCAGGAGAAAAAAATCTGCATCAACTACAAAGTAAAGCAGGTAATTTTACTCAGAGGACTTGATGTGTTAAATTTTGGAATGATATGATATTGTTTTATACAAGCTGAGTAGTGGATGGTGATACCACCTAAATATTTATACTGGTTTTGTGGTGGGTTATTTTAGTCATACAAATGCCAAATCTAAATTTTGAGAATTTTTCAGTTCGGTAAATATGTTGATGAGTTCATGGTCTGTCATCTAGTGTCACCATACTATCTTTTTATTTATACAGCGTGGTGATGAGATTCAGATTATTTCAATGTGGTTAAGTATTGTACTTTGTTCCATGTTGACTTATTTGTAAGTTGTATCCTCCACCTGAATTGGTAGTGAGTATTGGTTATTCAATCAGTTAATCATACAAAAACTGTGTAAATATGGTTATACACCATTCTGTCATCTTCACACTGTGAGACATATTTTCTCACAATGTTTTAGGTCACAGGTGATGAGATGGCAGTGTAAACTCTGCAAACATGAGGAGTCATCAAAAGTGTCACTACTCAAACATTATCGAGTGAAACATGGTACATTTGGTCATGGCTATTCCATACCCTGTCTTCATTTGAATTGTCCTTGCTCTTTTAAGACATGGGGTGCCTTAGGCTCACACTTGCCTAGGTCTCACAGTTCGCATGAAACGGAAGAGTGTGAGGTCCTTCCAACTATTAGATGTAAAATCTGTGATTCTTTTTACCTGGATCCTTCTGGGAAAATGACCTAATACATCCCAGAGTACTTGGTGACACTTAGCCCTTAACACCATATCGTGTTGAAGGCAAGAAAATGGTGTCAATAAAACGTCACATTGTTTGTTAGTGTAAGGGGAAAGACTCAGATACCCCCTTTCTTTTTCTTTTTTCTTGTGGTTTTTATTCTGCAGATGGACTCCGTTGCCTTGAAAGTAATTTTTGGACAACAGAGTGAGAAGCTTGTGCTCTCTTCTGGAATACCCAGGACTGTTGAGGAGTTGCATGAGACAGTGAGAGAGACATTTGGGCTAGTTGAGGATTTCACATTGCACTATTATGATGACTCATTTGGAGATTTCTTTACACTTCATTCTCCCAACCAAATCAAAGATAGGGGTACAGTCAAAGCTGTGGTCATTCCATCAGTAGTGCTTACATTGATTCCTCAGTGTGAAAATCCCTCAGATGTAAGTTCACTGAATGAAAGTTCAAG